AAGGAGGGAGAATTTTTTGTACCAGTATAAATGTCCAGACTTGTGTTTGAGTTACAGGTGTCTGAACAGTCTGGATCAAAGTGTTTATTCCTGCCAATACTGCTACATATTGGTACCAAACCAGTCAACTAAGTGTTTCAAAGCTAAGGCCTATTTCTGACAGGTAAGGTTATAATACTAAGTATTCAAAGGCAAGTCTACTCTTTGAGAGCTCAGAGACCTGAATGTCACCACAGGTTTAAAACCCAAACATAGGCAGTGTACTGTACTCAAATAAAATCTACAGAGACTTCTGGCAACATTATTTAAATAAAGTGTGAATGACATATTTTATTAAATGCATTCTTAAAAAAGTATATCTTTCTTAAATAAGGATTTCTCAGTACGGATTTCAATGTAAAACAGTTTTGAGGCAAGTCATAATAAGTAACAGGTTGATCAATAAAAAAAGTCACTTATGTATGGTAGTCTTCAATCATATTTAAACATATGCACTGTGTGTGGTGTCCTCCTTCACATGCTAGGTGATGTCAGTGCAGCATGGCTGGACAAGATCAAAGATCAGCTCCATTTTGTACTTGCAAACATTTAGAATAAGCAGCAGGCAAGGGGTAGCAGCAGTTCTTAGAAAACACCACCCCACCCCCAACACAAAAGACTTGCCAGTAATGTGTATTTTATGCAGAAGAGTATGCCATGCTTCTTTTTCCCCCTGCTTAAAAGCACATTCTAAAAATAAGTCAAGTCTTACAAATAATACACTGAAACAATGCATGAGAAGACTTCACCATGGCAATTTCACTGGAGCTTTATTGCCTCTGTTGGTAATGAGAGGGATTGTAAGAAGTTACATTGGAACTTACAGAGATATGTAAATGATGGGTTTTTTTACTAAATATAATCTCGAGATTAAGTGTTTTATATCAGGGCACTTCTCATTTTGTACATATTTAATGTATAAAAACAGGTTACAAACGTGATGTTTGCCTTTTTTCCCTTGACATTTGGCAAAATTAAATTGATCCATTTAAGGGGAGATCATCAAATTGAAGACGTAAGCACTTACAAATTAAAGCAATCCAAGTAAGCAACTGGCTGCATTCTTAAAGAAAAAAGAAACCAAAACAAAAAAATAAAACCCACACAAATATAGAAAGGGGAAAAAAACCCCCCCCAAAAAACAAACCACAAACACATGGCCACATTGAGCACATTTCAATGCAAAATATTCCCTGTAACCAGGCATTTTGTCCTTAGAACAACACCCTGTTAAATTAATGTTTCTTTCAACTTCAGTCACTCGTTTTGAAAAACTTTTAAGAAGCCATCATAGCACAAATAACCCTTTTCTGCAACATAATTAGACAAAGTTTTATGTATCTCTTTATAATTACACAGTAATTATAAGCATGTAGTACCAAACTGATGACAACACTATTTTGTTGAAAAGATCTTGCATTCAAAAGGAATATTCTTTAAAACACCACGGCATTATGCCACTACCCAGTCTCAGACTTTTTTGAGGGACAAGTCTGTACTGGGATGAAAAGCAAGTCAGTTCTCTCCAAACACAGCATACTTGAACTAATCAATTTGAAACTGTACCAAAACCCTTAAGACATGAAACAGCACGCATAGATACCTTGTAGAGCTTTTCCACCCTCCCACCCCCCCTTCCCCCCCATAATTTCAAGTCCCCATTTATATTTACACGAAATTGAGAAAGGAAATACTGAAAGCAGCAAAACATATGATTTTTGGCCTAGCCAATTCCAGTAGCTGGAGAATGTTTGCAATGTTTTTGTGGAACAGCATTCTTGAAATAAACGCACAACTGGATTTTCTTAAAAGGGCACTGCTGCAAGGGGAGTCAGCCTTATGCTCAACTTCAGAGAATACAAATACGGTTTTTTAGCAGTTTAATAGTCTTTTTTTCATCTTTTAACATCTGCATAAAAGCATTCTGCTGCTTAGTGCAAGTGCCAATTACTAACTTCAAATATAATTCTGGCCTTATCATGGGACTGTTTAGGGCATGGACTTAAACTTATCTATCCTTACGCGTAATGACAGCCTATCTTCTCCTGGAGCCTGTTCTTTTCCAGCTTGTTTTACAGACCAGTATTTCTTACATATCTTCACAAGTAGCTAAGTGAGGAGTAAAAGACCATGTTTAGCCAAAAGCAGCTCTCAAATTCTTGTAATATTAAAAATAAAGAATTGCAGCTGATAAAATCTGTTTTGAACAAAATGAACTTGATTTAGTTAAATGTGGTAAAAAAATAAGAAGTAGTGATGATCAGCAAAATAATTTAAGCAAACAAAGCCAGTGTAGTATTTTATATTTATCTGATCTGTGCTTGCTTTGGAAAGTTTTACTCTCAATTTCTATATTTGGCAACCACAGTGATATGTCAATTTAAGGAAAACTCATCAAAATAATTAAACAAACAAAAAAAAAAAGATGTCATCCATAATGGCAGTACCTCTATGTTATAAAGAGTTAACTTACTTCTCAGGATAATGGATTTGAAACCTAGATTCACATCAAACTCACCAGCTTCTTGTAACAACAGGGCCTTTGTTTTATCATACCTCAACCATAAAAATTACACATCTCAATTTAAAATCCTGTATTGTGTAGCAAACATTTAAGACACAAATTCAGTATATTCAAGTTTTAAGATTTCCACAGAAATGAAAAACCTTTCTTTGACAGACAGGTAAGCATTTCAAAACTGTAATGAAATCTGATTTCTTAGATAATAACCTAGAGAATATTAGATTCTATCAGGACGCACACAGCTTATCTCAATGACGCTCACTGAAGGCTGACTATAACATTGAACACGGGTGCTTTAAGTGCACAGTAGTTGTGTCGTACTTCAACTGTTCTCACAGTCAGCTGATGTACAATCAAACTATTCAGATAGGCACCTAGATACCCCAGTATCAACAACCTTGGGTTTTCTTGGTTATTTCTGTAACTCTTTTTATCAGATACTCAAACTCACTTAGACAATACCTGTACTTTTCCAGAACAGAAAAAAAAGTTATCGGACCCAGTACACTTAAATATATCACTCTTACAGGAAGTGCTATCAATAAGTCTTTGCAACTAGCCCGAAGTGTATATTTAAGGATGCTTTCAAAAATTGTTTTGATGTTGATCTGTATAATTCAGATGCCATACAACAGTTGTCTGATGATGACCAGCATTGTGCTTTATGTGAAACCAGAAACCTCAAAATAATTATAAAGCTTCTAGGATTTATGGGAGATGAAACTAGGATGGTCCACCAATTAAAAAAAAAAAAAAAAAAAAAAAAAGAACACACAAAAAAAAAAACCAACCAACACAAAACCCACAAAAAAAAAAAATTAAAAAAAAAAAAAATAAAAATCTGTGAAATCCACAATGTTGGAATTTTAATGGGCAAGAGTGGTCCAGACTAGAAGAAAAGCCCAAACCACCAGAAGAAGAATGAAATATGATATGGTCCAAGATGTATCCTTAAAGGTTTGTCTCAACCCTCAGCCACATTGTGAGGATTGATCTTCAGTTCAGTCCAGCCAGCAGAAATTGACTGTGCAATTTTCCATTTCAGGTATTTGTACAGACTATGTACACTCTAGAAGGGTCCTTTAGTGCTACACTGTCGTACTTTTTGTCCCAGCAATTTGAGGGCGTGCAAATTCCACAAAGTCATCAATAAGCACTGGCCATGCCCCTAAAAGAAAAAAAAGACCACACCATTAGAGCTTTATTTTTAAAGCTTCAGATCTAAACAAGTTCTTTACTTTCCAGTCTTAACTAGGTACAGTTTCCAGAAAAAAACCACTGTAATTTGGTTTTTTTGCTTAAAATCTGCGACCTGCTTAAATATTTCTACTTCCTTTAGACCCAGTTAATACACATCCCTTTCAATGGTCAAACTTCTACCATCTTCCTGACAAAAAAAAAAAAAAGAAAACTGACAAAAATTCTAGCTTAAACCTGTCCTGGGTTTGGCACTACAACTCATATTTGACCTCCAGGATGGCAGCAATTGCTTAAAAAAAAAAAACTATGACCACTGGATGAAGCAGTCTATGCTGTAAGTGGCAGCACACCATAACATGCATTTCCTGCAGCACAGTACGATGTATGAATGCAATGCTCATCTGTTTGAGTTGGCATGCTCAGCCACACCTGAAACCAGTGAAACAGACTCCGACAGGCAGCGAAAGAGTATAATGCCTTACAAAGCTGGTGCTACACTACTCTTCTGTATTTCTTACCAAGAGGTAATTAAAATGCATATCAGTATTTTACATATCACAGGCAGCCAAATATGTCCCCAGCTATGTGCATGACTGTCATGTGAAAGTTAAAAACAAATGTGGGTTGGTTTGAACTTTTTCAGCTATTCATTTATTATGGGCAGCAGCCCATTTGCTCAATGATAAGGGAATAAGAACTGTCTGTAATTATGAAATAAAGTTGCAGAAGCTTGCTCCCTCTGCTATGGAAATATCAGAGCTTCTTCCACTCACTGAACTGATCTGCCATCAATGACTGAGGGTAATCAGCTGTTTTTGGCTACAGATTGACTGGAAGAGGAAAGATCAATACAAAAGTTTACAAGAAATGCAAATGCTAGAAAATAACAGCTTTAGCAATCCCTGTATGCTGCCACCTTAACTTCTATATTATTACATGCCTTCACATAAACTGAAGCAATCAAACTTAAAATATATTCTCAGATAAGAAATGCAATAGCCAGAAGACCCTACAAAGAAACACACAGGCCATGAATCAGTTACTTAGTCGACGATGCCAAGAACTGTGCTGACAGAAAATCTGCATTTTGTAAATGAAGAAATAGCAAGGTTTGTCTCAATACGAGTTAGTGTCTGAGCTCAGACAGAAGAAAAAAAGAAAATGGATCTAAGAAAGTTACAGCATTTTTTAAACCTGCAGTAACAAACAGATGATAACAACATGCATTAAAGTAGCTCTCTGCAGACGTTACATTACCAGTGATATTTTAATTATGCTGCTATTAGACAGGTGTGCCAAAGCAGATACACATTAATAAATGTAGCATAAAACACAGTTAGAGGTTAATGAAAGAAAATGGAAATGTTTACCTTCCTCATCATAGTTAGACATATCATCTGCTATCATTGTACTAAAGTCTAGAAGAAGGTTCCAGGTATCCTTAGGAATTGATCTTTTATGATGTTCCTGTTTGGAGGAGTGGAAAATTCATATTTAAAAAATAAAGAAAGAAAAAGTAAAACCCCTTATACACACTTGTTTTCACTGTCTTGAACACATCCATATCCCCAAAATGTATTTTGTTTGTACACACTATGTAAAGTGCAGTATCTGGGATCTGTGCCAAAATAGTCTATTTCCTCTACTCAGTAATTTAAACATATCTTCCAAGTTTTAAAAATATTGCAGTCCAGTTTATGTGAAGATTTAAACTTACCAACAAAAATTTGTTCCACAAGTCTAGAAATTTAAATCTTCCATTAAGTACTAAATTCCAGTAGGCAATGGCCATTTCTAAATCTGTAATATCAAAATATATTACTCTTAGAGATACACATTTCAAATATATCATCTCCACAGGTATCAAACGCTAAGATGAACCATATATTCATAAAGGTGAAAAGATTCATCATGCAAATATACTCGTGGATCCTTTACAAAAAGGCAACCATAAATAAAACATTATACAAGTATTTTCTAGATTTTGATACTATCACTTGAATACAGAAGAACTAAAAATTGCCTATATTAATATCTAACATATCCAAAACACACAAGAATATTTCATATGCCTTTTGATATCTAACAATTCTTTAGTTAAAACTTGGTGAAATATTCTGTTTTAGAAATGCTATTGACTTGAAAATTTGTAGTATTTTGTAGTAAGATCTTTAATCTTTTTTAACATATATAAAATAAATTTACATAAAAATAATTTTTTTTCATTTCACTTTTAGAGCAACCTTGTTACAGCTGCTGGTTTTGTAAAGTGGCTTTTGTCAAGTGTTCATTTTTGCAATTGTGTTTCCTTTTGAAAAAAGTAAGTACTGTACAAGCAGATGGTTGACGGTTAATTGGTTTGTTGTTGGTCTTTTTTGGTTGGGTCGGGGTTTTTGGAACTGACACAGTTCAGGAACAAGAACAGCCTACTTCCAGTCAGGCAACTGCGTGCTGCTCTCAGCAGCGGGTGCTGTTACAGTGTAGCAGTTAGAAAAAGAGACTGGTTAGTCTAGCATGTAAGGAAAAAAACCCTGACCTCCTTGGTATTTGCCAAAGGCTAAACTGACATGCGTTTACTGCTTATTAGTGGCATACATCAACTTGTTAGCTGATAAACGAAACCTATGTATCTGCATTCTAAATCTACCTACTGTGATCTCCATTACCAGTCATTAACAAGGATCTCTGACTGTGTAACAAAATGCTGCTGTGATCTTACTGAATTCAGTACCCATCACCAAGTACATACAGTAACTCCAAAAGGCTACCTAGTCGAGTGACTTTTTTTTAACAAAAGCTTTTATATATTTTGCAGTCTTCCATGAACAATCCTCTCGTGAGAGCAGAGAGAAGCACATGATCAACTGCACCTCAGGAAAACTAAAAAACCTGACAACCCAAGATGCTGAAACTATGTAAAAAAAACAGGGAGGTGGATCTCACAGATTAAATCAACAGCAAACAAAACAAAGCATGAACTCTGCATTGCTGGAGGGAAAATAGACAGTGATGGGAGGAGTTCCCAAACGGTTTAGTATCTTTGATATTGAAAGTTCTTCTCAAACAACATATTCACATTATAATGCTTCCTGACCCAAGTAAAGAATGAAATTCGTAAACGATTTTCCAAAGCTAAAAAGGAGTGTGATTTCAGACAAAAGTGTAAGCAATGTACATTTTGAAAAAATGTAAGTTTCAAGAGCAGAGACAAATTAAACAGAAGTCACTACTCCCCAGGAAATGAGCTATATGTGAAAATGAGAACTTACTAAAAAAAGTGTAAAAACTAGGTATCCCTTTTTAACAGAAGATTCAGATACAAAAATACGCACTTCAGCTTTCAACTGAAATTACTATCTTTCTAAAATTAGATACAAAGTTAAGATTATCAGGTTCTCAAGGAAACAGATTATAAAACTAAGTTTTATTTACTTGTGATGCATTAGGCTCATGAAAAAATGCAAAATCCCATCATATTTACAGTAGTTTATAAACAAACACTATAAACAAACTGTGCATTTCGACATGCTTATACAATTTTGAGATTATTTTTGTGGCTAAGCAAAGGCCTTTAAAAAACAGATCTCAGGATGCTGCAACCTCAAACTCATTATTGCGAGTCCAAATACATAAAGCACAAAGATATAATGCCTTAGGACAAACTACATGTTTTAAAAGAAATTTTATGAAACCACAAAATTGGAAAGATGTAATTCTACATCTTCGTAAGTGAACGACTGCTCAGGAAAGTCCTCATGGATCAAATATGAAAGCCTCAAAATATATGCTCCATTCTGAGTTTTATCCAGAGAGATGCAAACAATGTTTGAGATGAGTATCAGCCAGAAAGTATTCTCAAGTAATACGCAAATATCACAAGAACTTTTAAGACAACACCAGTACTTACATGGTAGTAAGGAATTATGCAGAGGAAACACATTTGCAGAACTATGCCTGAACTACTACACAATGTTTGGAAGATTAGAGACCAATATACATTAAAATCAATTTGCAAGTTCCTACAAGCTGTTATTTAGACACTCCAAAATTAATTGCCTAACAAGGAGCACTTACTTTTCAGCACTGTATTTGTCCCAGTATTCTTTTGCTTCAGGGTTTCCAGAATTATTCTGCCATATTGTTAAATTCATGCCTGAAACTGTGTACTTACTGGCACCGAAAGGGCTGGTAAGCATCCAGATTTTAAGCACAGTTCTACATCACTTGCAGACCCAGATCGACAAAAAAACCCAAAACAACACTAACCAAAAAAACCAACCTTGTACTATGTATATGCTATATGGATGTGAAAAAACTGTATTTGTCTTTGTCACTGTGAGAACTTAATTTGCGTAAAGCTTTAATATGAATGAAAAATAAAGCAAAGGGCTTAGCCTTCCTGGTAAATCATTTTTACTGAAGTCTGTTCCACCTGGGATACTCAAAGGATTCATTTCTATATAGGATTGGGGGAAAAAAATTCAGAGAAAGAATGCAAGTCTTCCTTATACCTCAGAAATATGAAGAAGAAAATAAAAAGGTAAGTACTACATCAAATGGTTCTGTTTTTCTGAAACTTTGAGAATATTAAAAATGACCATTTAATTATGGTAACATTGTAATTTCTCATTTCACTTTTACCACCTTACAAGGGTTTTGAAAAATACTCCTTGTGGTGTGAAGATGTTTAAAGATTAAAACCAACATACAAATGGTAACCATAAAACCAAAACAAAACCCTGCAACCATTCATGCTGCAGAACTGATTCTACACTGACACTCTCCATATCCTAACTTCTATCTTCTCATAATTCAGTTACTGTATTTTCCTCATTGTAGCAGCCTAAAAAATATAATACACCTTTTAACAAGAAATAAGAATCAGCTCTTTGATTTATTTGCAGCATTCTGATCCTCATAAGCTTTTTCAAACAGTTTAGCAGTGCTCTTTTAGCTTCCTCAAAGACAAAGAAACTCAGAATTCAATTGAAAACAAAAACCAGAATACAGAAAGATATTAAAAATGACAGAGAGTAAAAACTAAGACATGGAGATTTGGCTTATTTACTTATTTTTCAATATTCATTTTAAGCCAGAAGTTGGTCTACATATATAAGACAACAAAATGAAAAGAGAATGCTTATCTTTTCACAGCACGTGAATGCAAACCGGGTCAGTAACTGTCTGTTTAAGGCTTTTTCATTACTGAGAAAAATTCACAAGCTGCCAAGAACCTACTAGCCTTTCCGTATTTTATTTCTGCTCAAAAGTAGAACAGTTAAGAAGTTAGCAGTTAAAGAGTCATGAAATACTACTAGTTATGGGTAATACCTGAACTGCTCTATATATAAATTAATATGCATTCTGGTTGGTTAACATTACTGCTTCAAAGAATTTTGTTCCCTCATTTTTGCTCTTCTGAATAGACAGATCTATGGATTGTTCACTCAGTTCCATCAGAACTGTGGTGTTCTGCCATTCTTTTTAATAAGTGATTCTTCCACTTCACCTGTTACACTAATGAAAAGCAAAATCAGTAGAAAAGCTATGAAATAATGAAAAAAAAAAATAAAAATCAGTGAACTGAGGGGGGGTGGGGAAAAAAAAAAAAGCTGTAAGGCTGTAGGTAGGCACCTGTCACCAATGGCACAACAGGCATCGAGCCCAGGATATAGAAATCTATTTGTACTATTCCACTTTATCTTGCCAAGACATCTGCAAGCATTTTTGGTGATACAAGAGACTGTACAAGCGTACTTACATGGAAATCAGTTTTACAGCTTAAATTTATCCTAAAAGTGAACATTCAATTAATCTGTTCAGTGCTGCAAATTCTAAGTAGTATAATTATGCCTTTAGTATAAGGCCATAATCCATTGTGCTTACTGAGAATTGCATACACTCTTTGTTAAATAAACCTTCTCTCATAAAATTTAGCAGTATATAGTAATGATGCAGATATTTCTATCAATTTGAACACCTTAAATTGACATCTATCTCTCACAACAGACAGATGTATTTTATCCCAAAGGTGATTATCTTTCAGACTCACTGGATCACAGTAATACTTTCACTTACTGCTTTAATCAGTCATTTCCCATATTTATGAACAAATATTTACAATCAAGAATACATACCTAAACCTTTCTGCCCCGGATTCTTTGCAAAGTTGAAAGTAAACTGATAAAAATCCTTAAATCTTCCTGGCTCTTTTAATTCTTGTTCCATTTTAGGAATTTGGGCCTTCAGTTTTTCTATGCTGTCACATCTGCATTTTAAAAAGCATGTTTATTGGTGTATTACTCATTTTTCCATAAAGTATGAGTTATAACTTAAACAACTGTGGGATACAATACAATTATCAAAAAAATCAGGAAGCCTTTAATTAGTCTGCACCTATACAACAATTTCATTACTTTGTTATTTCTTTACATTGCCATTTGCACATTCTAGCTGATACACGAAATTCCATAATTCAACAGATTTTTAGAAAAATGTGATAAAGACTACTATATTTTCATAAGGCAAAGAAACCTCAGATATTCTAGAGTGCAGACTGACATCCTTGCTTTACCTACCTGAGCAGCTCTATGGCAAGTAACTGATACACACAACCAAGGCAAGTAGCACTCAAAGCTGCTGCTCTTTTTTCGGTCACTAAGCATCTAGCACGTAGACAGCAGATGCATTTTTAGAGAGGCAGACAAGTGCTGCTAGACTCCAAAAAGTCTCTGAAGTCAGAAAGGACAATGAGATCGTGAATTCCCAAAACAGGGCTGTTCCAGTATGTTCCAGGTTCTGACACTGGGTTACACTGTCCATGTCTAATACTTGCTGCGCACTTACCCTAGCTCAGTCATTCCATCCATGAATTCCAGCTTTGAAAATTCACACTGCGTTGCAGCTCGGAATTTCCATGCAATGATGAGTACAGTAATGCTGGCTGGGTCAAGAGCTAAATCATCACAAAACTGCTGTATACCATCTATACCAATTTTATTTTCATCTTGAGGATCTTTGGGATACAAAAGTAAGTATCAAGAAAAACAGATTTTTTAAAAAGCTAATTTATTCTGTAACTGCATTTAAGATAAGTAAACATTTAAGACAACATTTTGGGGATCAGGCCTTATAAGTGAATATTTTAAAAGCAAAATTAAATTAGTATTTTCAATGGTTGATATTAACAATTGAAGCAGTTACTACAATAAAGCTTCCCATACAATGAAGCTTATGTTACTTTCATTGAGAGACAAAAGCATCACAAACATTTGTTTTCTGCTTAATAATATGCACGACACTGTGACTCATTCCATACAGAGAACACTGGTCCTTTCCCACCAGCACACTTAATTATTGGCATCTTTGGCAAGACTGCTGATCTGTGTACCGTTATAAACAATTCTGCAGTGTCCATTTGCAAGCTGTACTGATACAATAATCAAATCTGACCATAAACTAAGTTAACATTAGTTTTATGCATTTTCTGGCAACACCAGCATGCATGAGATTGGACATGGAAAGCTCAATCAAAGAGGACAAGAGGAAAGTTACGTTGCCCCATTACCGATTCCAAGTCAGCCATCTGGTCTGGAAGTGAGATGCTCACATTTCAAGCGCACTAACAAAGATCTACTAACTTAAGCCAACAAAGACTTCAGGAAAATGGTATTTGGATTATGCACACATATGAAAAATACAGAAAATGCAGCACTCATTTTTAGATTTTCTGAAGTGCTAAAACACAAAATTTGTTCTACTATACTGAATCCACTTTACTATTTGTGGTAGGATACCATCAGTTCACCACTGGCTAACTAACTTTGTTTTCTTTTCTGCTTTGTTTGTAACTATTTGATAATAAGCACAAGGTGAATAAAAATTAAGGTATGCAACCTGTCACTTTGTCAGGATCCAGTCCTGAGTGATGTGCTTTCCCCAGAAGAATCACCTAAAATCCACATTAACCATTACAGTTATTCATTGTACACACAATTCCAGCTCCAAGCCCCTAATCCTGTATAAATGTATGTATATTTAGAGCACATAAAGCAATCATGTGTAATCCTTGTGAAGCAGAAGCCTACATATATTCCCCTTCTAACTTCATTATTAGCAATAGAAAAAACAAAGCTGAAAGAGTTAAGATTTCAAGCACAAGAGCACAGCTGCAATGATACATTGTCATTAAGAATACATACATACAACTATGAAATAAGCCTTAAAATTCAGGGTACTCACCTTTGTATCTGTTATATAGTTGTTCTAACTTCTTTCTGTCCAATGATCCTTTAACACTCTCTCGTATATAAAGTTCAGGATTTTGGAAAAAGTTGTCTGTTGCAACATCTAACTTCCAGTCATTTTGAGACAGACAACTCACTGCTGTCTTTTCACTAGATTGTGTGAAGACCATAAACTGACGCACTTTATCCTTCTGCGATGATTTCAACTTGTTCTAGTAAAAACAGACAACACTGTAACTAAAAATGTTTTACTGGACACACAAAAAAACCCCAATACCTAAACCCCAAAACACAAACAAACCCAAACAACTTTAAAACAAACAAACCAACCCACCTTACCTTCATTCTAGGTACTTCACATTGTATCCAAACTGAGTGAAATCATCACAAAAATCATGCTGGCAAAGCAATCAGAGAAATAAAAAAATGGGTATTCTTGTCACATATTTGGCAAGAGAGCTGAAGGGCATTGAAAATTCACATACAGCTGTGGGCTTTCTTTTTAAACCAATTTTTGTTTGTTTGTTTTTTAAGGAAAAAAAAAAATCACCCAAAACATTCTCCTCTTAATAGAAGAATGCTACACCTATCAAAAAAGGAGAACTGAGATGCCTAAATAGAGCCCATAGCTATCAAACTATTTGACAGATTAATTGCCTCAACAGATGCAGCGGAACAGGCCATTAATAGCTTACCATCACTGAATGAAAGGCTGGCATTGTTAATCCCAGCTGACCAGACTAACAGAAACACCAGCTAGTGCAGGACCAGAGGCAAAACCATACTGCCAGGAACAGGATCTCTTGGTGGCAGCAAGGAACTAGGCTGGGTCATCCATTTCAGGGAGCTATGCACTGAGCTAACTTAAGAGAGTAGATAT